AGAAATACAGAACCAAGCAGCGCGCACACACACACACACACACACACACACACACACACACACACACACGCACACACACACACACAGAACTAGATTAGATTACATTTCACTGCAACTGCTACCTTCAGACTCATGACATGTTCTCCAGGCACTGTGATGTGTGAACTTGGCACGACAGCTTTCCATCATCACATATACTCTCTCTCTCTCTCTCTCTTCTGTGTGAACAGGACAATTAAGCTCTAAATAATCAGTCATCTGCTGCCCGCTGGTGACAGCAGCATGTCTACATTGCAGCCACTTAGCTGTCCACTCTAGTAGAAGCTCCTGCCACTCACTCTTTAGCCCCTAATGCACTGAAACAATGGTTTGCTAAAGAAAGAGTTTGGCAAAAACTCATTGACATCATTTTTCCTTATTGGTAAATGTAGTCAGTTAGTCAAGACATGTTTGGTGTCTGAAGTTTGTTACGTTAGTTTTACACAAGAAGTTAACATGTAATGGAAAAAGTTGCTTAAAACTAGAAAAAGTCAAAGTTTTTACAGAGTTCATTCGTTAAGGTTTAAACAAAGCCATTCGGGGTGGTTGGATGTAAAATGTGCTGTTCTAGAGAAACTTACTATTAGAACTGTTTACAGTGGTGGTGATGGGAAACAAGAGGTCCCAATGCTTTTAAAAGCTGCCGTCTGAAAGCTATTACATCAAATGGTTGCGAAAACGTTTGCTGATGCATGAGACACTGATGTTTCATGATAGCTTCTGAAATAGGGTTTTAGGGTTTTTAAAATCAATTCATGGCAGAGAGATAAATGCCAATTAGTCCCCAAAGAAAGCTTTTTGTCAGATTAACCAATATTTAATCATTATCAGCATTACATGTAAAACTCAAAAGATACATGTACAGGTTCGCTGATGGTTTTGGACAGTAAATAAAATGGTTATGTCTGTGTTGTAGACATTCCAACCCCTGGTTTCTGTCACTACCACTGTAAAGAAATCTGACTCAGTTTCTCTACAATGAACCATTTCACATCAAACCACTCTGAATGACTTTGTTTACATCCCAATGAGTGAAATATGCAAAAAAGAAAAAAGAAAAAATGGTGGTATTCTCCTTTACAGGGTTATTCTGATATACAACTAGTGTTTAAACTAGCATGTTCCTGCACCACATTACCCAGCATGCTTTACACAAATACATCACAAAATCCTTGGAATCCCTATGGCCCTGAACTAATCCTGACTAGCCACTGATCTACATAGCCAGCAGTAGTGATACTGCAATCACCTCAAATAGCCACGAAACTTTGTTTGTTAAAGGAACAATTCAGATTTACTTCCACCTTCAAGATACATTATCAGAAAGGGGTTTCCCAGTCTTTAAACCAGGAAATCATGCTTTAGAGACCACTGTGGCGCCACTGTGAGAGACAAGTAGCTATGCATTGATATAATGATGGTTACATTTTTTCATTTTGGCAGTGTCCCGTTAAGTTTCAAACAGACATAAAGGAATGGCTGGCATTTTGGGGTTAGCCTTATCCTAACATGGACACCAAAGCAATTGCCTCCCTTTTGTTTCCATCCATACCGTCTCAGAACTCAGTCAGCTGCATTAGAGAACACTGCAGTTGGGGGCTTGTGCGTTAAACAAGCTGTGGACCAGCATGAATGACTGTAATATTTTCCAAATTCCAGTAATGTCTGGAGGTTGAAGGCATGAGTGTGCTGGACAGATGAGACAAATGATTTCAGAAATTCAACAAAGATGAAGTTGGCCTCTTATTCAAAGTTCCCATTCCACCCTAAATGGTGCAGCGGTTATATTCAAGCACCTCCATTTAAGGTGGAATGGAAAATTAGCTGCCCAATAAGAAGCCAACTTCAGACTTTTAAAAATTTAGACATGAAACAACAGTTAACACCTTTTTGCCAGGCCTAATAGACACATATGTCTGTGTATATATATATATATATATATATATATATATATATATATATGTGTGTGTGTGTGTGTATATATATATATATATATATATATATATACGGACATCAAGAATGACTACTTTTAAGGTTAGAATTATGGAAAACTGAGTAAATTTTCACTGATCAAGTCCTTTAAAAGCAAATCCGAGATCAGTCACAGCGAGGTCTCCTGGGTCAGTCACCGGGAGAGATACACAGCTGAAGCGCTGATGCATGCTGGGCTCGAATTAACACTTCAAAGCTGTCAAGCAAATCTCCACCTCTATCCAGTCAAGCCTCTGATCACTCAGACGTTCTCTGAAATGTACACAGCTAGGCCCGCGTTCTGTGAGAGCATCAGACCAGAGTCGTTTAGGACGTCAGTTTGCACACTGCTCACTGTTGGTCTCCCACATTAGATCAGTCTGATAACTGAATGAAAACTGGACAACAACCTGATGACTGATGGGAGCTTTTTCTCTGCCATTCTTTGATGAGTCATCAACATTTCAGGCACAGGAACTGCTAAGAGTTCATTTCCTGATGCAGTAACCTATCAAAGCATCAAAATACCAGATGAGTCACACAGACTTTCTTTCACTGTGTCACTGAGATCTGAATAAGTGATAAGGGCAAAGGATATTTAGTCATAATTTTGCATAATGTTTCACTAACTCTGGTGGAAACTTGCTACAAACTGCTCAAAAATGATCAGTTGTACCTAAAGAAGTCTCGCATGGTAACCAGCCATCTGTTCCATGATTTGTATCAATGACTTATTTATTTGCAAACTGTCCAGGCTGTTTTCCACCAGTTTGCTTCACACAAGGCCACATGTGATATAATGCAGTGGATAGATGAGCACTTTGTTCTGAAAGTAAGTGGGCATCTTTGGCTATGTTCACACTGCAAACCACATTTTTCTCGTCCGCCATATACTGTCTTTAACTTCTGCACTTTTTTAGACAGTGTTTGCTTGTCATATAAGCTTCTGTGCTCTCCTACAAGAGTTCTGCCGCCATCCTGATGTACGTTTGTTTGGGCTGCAACCACAACAGCACAGCGCAATTTTAACGCATCCGTACAACACAGAAAATAGAGCAGGCTCTGATTAAAAATTTACACAGCATCACAGTCCATCAATTCCAGACTCGCCGTGAAAGACTGCATTAATATATGTGCGCACAGTTTCAAAACCTGACGTGCATTTTTTGTCCGTGGAAATCAGACTCTGTGTAAACAGGCCTTTAATCATGTAGTCAAGGGGTCGGCAACTCTTTTACTGCCCTGTTGTGGCTCCACAGCAGAATTAGATTTTTTGGGCAAAAGTAAAATAATCATCCTTTGCTGTAAAATAAAGCTCTGCTGATGGTTCTAACACAGTTTCAGGAATAAATGGCCTTAAACGTAGCCTATAACTGCTAATTCACCAACTTTTGAACCTGAAGGTTGGCGCACAGACTGCTGGTCAGATAGCAATGCAGACAACAATCTCGCCTAGCTAGTAGCTAACAAAAAATCAATTCATCAAAAAGTATTTAAGATGGACATCGATAATTTGGAGATGAATGGACTTATTTGCGTTTATAATCACTCCTGCTGGTTTCCTGAAATGTTTTATCTGCACCGAGAAACTGCCAAACACTAAAAAGTCAAAAAGCTGAAGTCAGATTCTCATTCGACTTCTCCTGTTCCACCTTAAATGGTGCAGCAGTTACATTCTGGCGCCTCAAGCACTGTTTAAGGTGGAATGGGAAAATTCAAACAAGAAGCTGGTGAATGAGAAGCTGACTTCAGCCTTGTAAAAAGTCAAACATTTCACGAGAAACTATTCTACTTTTGTGGAAAACTTTCCTGCCAGAGATGCGAGAAAAGCTGAGCCAAAGCTTAAAGCAGAGCAAAGTAAGTCTGTAATTCGCACATACTGAGACATATTTACAGCCAAGATGGTAAAATGGACATAAAATGTTGTGGCTTTATTTTAAAGGATTATTTACAGGATCACCTCATTCAATCGGATAGAAATTGTATTCCGAACGGCCTAAATTGGACTAATCGATTCCGACTGAGGTGTTTACATGGACGTATTCTATTCTGATTGGGCTATTAGTCAGATTTTTAATAGATTATTAGGCTGCATGTAAACGTGGCTAATGATGCACTAAATCGATTCAAATTTGTACATCATCTCCACATTAATGAAATATGTTGCATTAACACAACCTTGGCTTTTTTTGACTTACTTTGGTGAATAAACATATTTATATTACAAGTATATACATTATATTTATGTGGAAATGACACACATATGAATCAAGTAAAATTGGATGCAATTACTGTATACATGAGCACTGAAAATAACCTGAAGGTGGTCCTGACCGACTAAATTAAGTTTATTAACAAGGGGATTAGTAGTGAGCCCAATGACGTACTAGTCAACAAAAACAGACAGAGGCTGGTGGTATGAGACCTGTATGTCTACTCTGGTGCAATAGTTCATAAGTACAAGTAGGAGGAATGTAGCGTTTCACATAGCTAAGATGCGCTTTTGAGAGACATGCATGCGAAGACTGTCCTTTAGGGCAGAAGAGTGCAGGGAGGGATGAGTGAGCTCTTTAACTGTGCTCTCTCTGATCACCATCCAGGAACGCCATGAGCTGATAGGAAAGAGCCATTGGGAATGGCCATAAGGGGAGCACATCTAGGAGTTTTTTGGGGTTTTTTTGGTGGAATTAGGCCATACTGTATCTGGTCTGAGTGGTCATGCGACACAGTTCTCCCCACAGCGACACAGAAACACATGATTGAGGTCAGGACTTTTCATACTGAAACTCTCAACATCACACATGTATAAAGACTGAGAAGGTTTCACTGAACAGCAAGCTGGACATCTCACACTTCCTGGACCAGGAAAGACCTCAATAACTAAAAAAGCTGCATTGCTGAGGTGCTTCAAGCCAAAGCATCCAGGAGGATTTCAACTGTACGGTCCCTATAATCAGTCCATACAATATGACCATAAAAATGTACATTACCTTCACTGGAAGATCCAGATAAGTCAATAACTACGTACACCTTCCCCTCGGGCTCCAAGTCTATCTGTAAAATGAATTGAAAAAAAGAGCATTTTAATAATCACAACCACTATTGCATATATAGCACCACAAGCACATTTCGATAAAGCTGTATGCAAAAGTTTGGGCACCCCTGGTCAAATGACATGTTCTGTTAATTTTTTAACCCTTGTGTGGTGTTGATGTTGCTGTTACTCAGTGGTCTGGTGGACCCACCACAACACAGCCATAATAAATTATGTAAAAATACCAGATGTTTAATATATCACAAGTGGCCAGAATAGGGTTCTCCTTTAGCAGTTGTAGCCAGTCAGCAGCCTGTCCATGTTGTCCATCCTCATACACACACATATATACAAACACACACACACACACACTAACAGCAGGCCATGTAGGAGGAGATCAGAGTGAAGGACACAGCACCTCCACACTTTTATTCCCCGCCGGTTCACCCAACACCACATGTGTAATGTAAGTGTGCGGGGGGTGAACAGTGTGAAGTCACTGAAAATGTATTATTTTATATGTTCTTCACAGAAAATGAGCAAAGGCCAAGAAATCTGAGGTTGAAATAATAATAAATCGCATCAATTTTTATTTTGATAAACTTCGAAAATGGGTCCCACAGACCCGAAAACTACACAAGCGTTAAGTGAAAGCAAGTTAACACATCCTCAATGGAGAACAAATATTGTATTTGATGCTTCATTTGTATCCAATATATTAAAAATGTGCTTTAATTGCACACTAAAAAGGTGTGTTAACTTATTTTCACTTTTTTAAAAAAATCAACAAAACATGTGGGGGTTTTCAAATCTTTGCATACGACCGTACACACACATTCTTGCAAATGCCGTTACAAAATCATCCCCTTGTTTACATAACATTCGTTGGCAATAAAAATGTTATGTAAAGTGGGGGATGCCTTGTAACAAGCCAGGTTTTTACGCAAATCCATTTTTTTTTCACAATACTGTAATTCAGTTGGACTAGGAGTATCCTCTGTTACATCTGTCCACTCTTTCTTCATGCAACATCTGACTCTGGCCCTGAAGGAAGGTTGACCTGAGCATGACAGGATGTTCTAGTGCACTCTACTTCAACTACAAACTCTACAACCCAGTCAATCAGCTTCAAGAGGCACCTAGCCAGCATTTTATCCTCCCTGAGAAGAGCATGCAGCAATGCACTGTTTATGGTCTGGTTTAAAGGAGATAAAAATAGATTTACCAGAAATCTTTTAGGTGGAGAAGACACTGCTGTGGTAACCTACTCACTCATAAGCGTTGTCGACTCTTAAACGGTGGTTCAGCGTTTAAAACCATGTGCAATAGAAATGTCAAAGGGCCCGTATACTAGAATTTTCTTATCTTTTAATATTTTCTCTTAGGTCTATTTATGCCATTTGTAGGATTTTATGTAGCAAAAACAGTCATAATACATTTTTACATGGCAATTTTCCGACCTCTACACATGCCTGAGAATTAGGCAGGGTATTTCTGTGTGTCTTTAAGACTGATAAATGTAAATGAACTGTGTTCTGACTGCAGAGTATTGCACTTCATTCAAAAAGCTGTCCAGACTCAAATTCTCCTTATGACTTAACTGTGAATGGACGGGACTAAACTAACTTAGCCTGGATTTGCATTGTTTTTTGTAAATCACAATTCAAAATGGTCTGTTTTTGCAGCTTAGTTTCCATATATTGATGTTGCAAACGTTATTTTAGATACTTAAACAATATTAATACACTATACCACATTTATAACTAAGGAAAATTGAGTTTTCCACAACATGGGCCCTTTAAAGCTATGCAGTGATGTGATGTAATGTGAAGGTTTTACTGGATAAGGACATTTGCTCGTGAAAATAATTCTTTGTATTCATCGTTGGAAATCTTTTTACCCTTTTATATCAGTATATGGAGAGTTTTGAGTCCATTGTTTACAAAAAGTGGTATTTATATGAATATAAGCGAAGTAATATAAGAATAATAACTTTCCTCAGCTTCATAACAACTTAAGTGGCATTGACTAAATGAAAATTAAAGCTATATCAGCTACCTAAGAAGTCACAGTCTACATGTGTGATACTACACAGCAATGAAGCTAATTTTAATTTCTGTGCATACTAACACTACGCTTTACAATCCGTTTCACATTGTAGGGTCTCACACTCTGCTTTGAAATAAAGGAATATTTGCTAATTCAGTGCACTTGGTTGTAAAGATGAACATGATGCTCACTACCCAATTATACAGTATTTATAAAATGTATTTGTATGTTTTTTGTCTGAATACAAGCTCCTCTGTTTTTGTTGTAACGGTAGTTAGATGTAGAGTCACTGTGTCCCTGTCTCAGCATCTCTGATAAAGGTGTCTCATCACTTATTCAACACATAAAAATGGGCGATAGACGGACAGACTCACAGGAGAACACCATCTTTCCCAGACACGAAAAACAACTCAAACTCAAGCTACAGCACTGTGTTTGTTCCTCCTGCGTTATGCGAGTCAGCTCACAGCCTCCTTTCCACTCGTCAACTGACATTGATCAGCCAGATGGCCAAACGACCTGTGGGCTACCTTGATGAAAATGATAAACGATAGCAGGGGAAAAGAAACAAATGTAGGTCAGTGAAACATTATTCCATGCAGCACACATGATGTCGATCATAAGATGGCTGCCCTTAATTGAGTTTCATTTATTAATGGTTCTAAAATCTCTTATATGTGATTAATGTCGGATGGTTGCCTCTATGTGAGGAGTCTAGAATGTCAGATGCACTGCATGTTGTGACGCTTCAATATCTACACTGAGTTGCCGTTTTATTTGATACACTTATCATTAAGGTGCCAATCCAATGCTGCACAATTTATGAGCCTCCCCGCTATTTCTATCCATTAATGGAAAGGGGCAACCAGAAGACCACCACTTTTATTTGGGTGTAGATCATTCTCAGTGCTCCACAGCTCAATAGTGGGGGGGGGGTTGAAACACTTCTAATCTACACTTGGTGTTGGGTATAATGACATGAGCCTAAGGTCATCACGCTCAATGCCAAGTGTCGGCTAGAAGTGTCAGAGTGTCGGATTCTATTGGTCAATGCTTTTCTATGGAGATACATACTGGCGCTGACCCTTTTAGAATGTGATGTACTAATATTAGGCCTACAACAACGTGTCAAAATCTAAGACTTTACAAATCATTTTAATGATAATGACATAAGAAAATAGAGATTTTAAACACTGTTTGTGCCCTTTGCTTTCCATAAAGAGTGTAACTCCCACATCATTTAAGATGGAATGGAAAATTCAGAATTCTAACTTGGCTTGTTCGCTTTCCTGTGCTGGTCTTCACAGACACGTTAAAACAGTTTGAGCAGCAGCAGGGCAACAAAATGAACTCTGTTCTGATTGGCCACTATGTATTAGGCCTCTTTCAAAAAGCAGTCAAGGCGTAAAGACTCATTATAACCCCAGGGTGAATGGGCGGGGCTAAACTGCCGTAGGCTAAAAAAGTGGATAGATGTAAATCAGTTGATTTTTTTTTGTGACATCACGGAAACAATGATTTTAAAACATGCTGTTCTTACAGTTTAGTGTTCATGTACAGACTGTATGGACTGGGGGAGTGAATGTTACATCACAAAACTACTTTCAACACTAATGCATAAGGATGGGTGTATAATAATTATTCAAATGACTGCCAATTTATAGAGAAGGTCAATTTATGACCTTCATGTACAGTGTAACCCCAATAACGCAGCTCAGAGTTCACTTATCAGAAGAGGTGTCTGGACTTTTGGGCTCACAGTGTAGGTGCAGCTAATAAACCGGCGACCCAGTGCAGTCGGGGAAAGGACTCTGGAGGACACACACAGATCCCCTCATCTGTATGTTTTTTTACTGGGGTCTCAGTTGCAGGAGGGTTCTGGCGTGTGTCATCCCTCACGCATACACACACTAAACAGACAACTGTACACACTGTCATCGCAGAGATAAAACATAATGTGTTCAGTGTTCTCCCAGAGCGTCTCTCCTCTCTTTCTCTCCCCACTTCTCTCTCTCTCTCTCTCCGCTGCAGTCTCCTTACTTGCCAAAAGTCTACTCCACGAATATACATCATTTTTTTGTTTGTATCTTTTTTTTTATCTTTTATCTTATAAAGACTCTTCAAATGCAGTACTGGGCAAAAGTCAGAGACCACCCTTAATTTATTTAATTAGTAGTCAAAATGGCCATTAAGTTCAAGTTATTCATTTCTCTGATGAGACTAGATTTAATTTAATTGAGATATTGAAATCACACAAGGGTCCAATACCTGGGAGACCACCAAAACTGTCACTATCAGATAAGCAGCACTTGAAGTTTTCATCTTTGAGAGAAAGGAGAAAATTAAGCTGCACTCGTTTCAAAACTGAAAACATCCACAGGTGTTTCTGTCCATTCTTCCACTGTGAGAAGACAACTCTGCACTGTGGGTCTGAAAGGATGTGTAGCTGTCAAGAAGCTGTTAAGCCGAGAAAAAGAAATAGTCCAAACAAGAGGAACTTTTGCAAATGAAACAAAGAAGCTGTTGGTGTTTTAGAACAACAGTCCACATCTGTCCACCGCAGAGTCCAGACTTCAACATCACTGAACATATTTCGGATTACTTGGATTGTGAGAAGCAGAAAATGAAACCAACTTCTAAGACTGAACTTTGGAGGTGTGGAAAAATATCCCTGCAGATTTCTTTGAAAAATTGAAATCAAGTCTCCTAAAAGAATGTAAGATACAATAAGGTCAAAGAGTGGACACACTAAATACTGAGAATGTGATATTATATTTAGTTAATAAGACTTGATCTCTGACTCTGCACAGTATTGTACACTATAAGGTACATGTACCTATATAAGGCACACAGCTGTAATTTATCCACTTACATGCAACAAAGCTTTATTATAAGCTTCTAACTTAATTTGCCTCCTTCACCATACACACAAATACACACATGCCCCACAACCCCCCACACTTCATCATGA